TAACCCAACAGCAAACTCAGTGAAACTGAGTGGGGGCAAATAACATTCTAAAGACAGTGTCTTCAGACGCGCCTCAGAGCTTCTCCTCCAAAGTTACAGTGACCCCATTTTCCAACAAAAACCACTTAAATGGATTCCCTTAATGAAAACAGGGAAACTATCTTCTCAAGTTGGGAAACTGATGTTGAAGCCCATGGAAAGACATAAGCAGTCCTCTGGATGGAAAATGTAAAGTCAGAACTAATACCCTAAATGAAGAAATGGGTGGGCATTTTAATGACAAAAAAATTGGACAGCAGTCCCACCTTTGGATGTGCATGTGTGTGTTTATGTCAAGCTTGGTTTGGACATGACCTTACCAACAGACAATACCAGTCCACCAATACTCTCATAGCCACCCTCATACCAGGTGTATGTTCTTTCACATATGAAACGAACACTGCCTTCACATAATCAAGACCCACTTTCCTCTTAAGGGAGAGGAGAGGCAGAATTTTGTTGCCCAAGTATTCTAAACACCATGATTGATGGTGTTTGGCTGTTTTGATCCTCTCTACTAAAGGAATATATCTGTGATGTACTCTCACAGATCTAAACCATCAAGAAAGGAATACATCTTTGATTGGCCACTATGGACCATTACCCAATATTGGTCCCAGCTATAATGGGGTCTTAAGAGTGGTCTAGATGCACAACTTTCAGCATTTCCATGCATGAAGTGGCAGTTATCAGAATCTGCATTGTTACACTTTTTAGCCCAAGTCTTTACCATTCACCAAGCAATGGCCCCTACATCTTGGACTGTCCATTGCACAAAAAAGTGCATGAAATACCAATGTAGGAGCAATCACATTTACAAGATGTGTACCATCAAAGTGGTGATGAGATCAGTGAAACAGACTAAATCGATAAGTTGTTTTTAAAGAAAACCGAATAACAAGTAGATATTGCATTTTAGGAGGATCAGATAAGGTGATTCCTCTAGATTGTCCTGATATTTCCATGTCTCAAAGGTCATCTCTTTGACATCAGCACCCGGTGGATCTTCGTAGTGAGAATTTTTCTCTCTTTGTATAGAAAATGAAGTTAAATTAAAGTCCTAACCTTTCGTTCAAGACCATGGAGGACGCAGCAGCTCAAGGAAACACAAATGTATTACAAGTACACCTTACAGAAAATTAGAAACAGACATATTCCCATACAGTAGACCTGTTCACACAGCCAAATAAGTTCATTAGCTTCAGAATAAAGGTGAACCCTGCCTTATGGAAGAACCACAATCAAAAGAAGGGGAAAAAGTCAAAGATGAGTTACCAACTTCTTACTTTTCATTCTTTCCAATGATAAGGAGCACGATCAACAACTAAATAATCTCCACGGATATCCCTTACAACACGAATCTCATCATCAAGGTAGACAGATTCAAACCTGCATAGATAAGATTCACATTACTGGCCTAGAGAATTAGCTTTAAGAACAATAGAGAACTAAAGTAGAGGATGGACCTGCCAAAACTGATGCAAATATTGCACAATGAACAATCACATGAGATCACCATGGATCTTTTAACTAGTTTTTGTTCTCTTTTAGTTCCCATTTCTATTTCGAAGTACATTGTTCTCCTTAGTTATACATCAAATAAAATGGGCAGCATATATACCCATATAAAATACACAACACACGCATAGATAAAATGGGTAGCATATATAACCATATAAAATACACAACATGCACATAGACACACAGAATCAAATCCAAGCCAATTTAGTGGAGACAAATGTTGGGTTATCATAACCTCCCATAAGACTTAAGAGAGGGAGAGGAACACAAGCACCAAATCCAAGTGTAGATGCCAGCTGGATCGGCTGGTAAGGCCTCTAGCTGGTCGTGGTGGAGACTTGGGATCAAATCCCGCCTGCACCAGGGTTAGGGGGTGGGTTACCCCCTAAAAATAACCTGAAATTGATACAATATTCAAAGGAAAATAGAGAGAACTGGTATCAGAGATCAGTACTAGGGAGAGAGAACAGTTTGGCTCAGTAGGAGATCGATCTAATCTCTCTAACTGATGCCCTAATTTATTTATATAATAAAAGATTGTAAAATTACACAACTGCCCCTATTTAAAATATTAAGAGAAAAACATACGCTGCAACACTTCTAACACTCCCCCTCAAGCTAGAGCATAAATATCATAGAGCTCTATCTTGTTACAAATATAGTCCATTCTTGCACACAACCCAAACGCTTGGTAAAGAGATCGACTAACTGATCTTATGGCCTTACATAAGGAGTGCTAATGTCACCACTTGTAACTTTCTCTCTCATAAAATGGCAATCCACCTCAATATGTTAGTTTTCTCATGAAACACTAGATTGGACTCAATGTGAACAGCAGCTTGGTTATCACAAAACACCTTAATGGGACTTCTAATGGGTACCCCTATCTCTTGAAGATGTTTCAGCCACATCAACTCACAAGTGTGTGCCATTGCCATATACTCTACCTCAGCACTACTTCTTACAACCATGCTATGCTTCTTACTCTTCCTAGATAAGATTCCCACCTAGGAAAGTGCAATAACCTATGATGAACCTCCTATCCACTAAGGGCCATGCCCAATCTGCATCGAATACCTTCCCAGTGACAAACTCTCCCCCTTTCTTATACAACAAGACATGACTTGGAGCACCTTTTAAGTAATGCAATACCCCAACAACTTCCCAATGACCAGATCTAGGACTCTACATGAACTGACTCAAAACTCCCACACTGAAGGATATATTTGGTCTAATTATGGTTAATAAGTTTTCCCACTAATCTCCTATACTTCCCAGCGTCATCTAGTAGCTCCCCTTAGTTGTCATTCATTTTACATTGGGAGCCATGTCAGTTTTAATTGACTTAGCCCCTAACAGCCTTGCTTCATCCAACAAATCTAGTACATACCTCTATGATAGAGAAATGCCCCATCTTGATCTTGCCACTTAATTTCCTAAGAAATACTTCATGTTTTCCGAATCTTGGTCTTAAAATTGCTACTATAAAAATTGCTTCAACTCACCAATTCCTTGCAACATCACAACCTATGATGACTATATCGTCAACATAAACAGCCAAGATGATCTTCCCAAACAAAGTATCTCTACTAAATATAGAGTGGTCAACACTACATTGGCACAAACCAAACTCTTTCACCATAGTATTGAACCTGTTCATTGTGATTGCTTCAACCAATAAATCACTTTCCTTAACCTACGCATCTTTGTCGCCTCCCCATGAGCAATATATCCAGGAGTTGCTCCATATATACCTCTTCTAGAAATTCACCATGAAAGAAGGCATTTTTAATATCAAGCTAAAACAATGGCCAATGAAAGTGTGTTGCTAGTGAAATTATCACCCTTACTGAACCCAACTTAGCAACAGGAGAGAAGGTTTCAAAGTAGTCAATAGCATAGCTTTGGGTATAATCCTTAGCCAACAAAGAGCTTTATATCTTTCAACACTACCATCCTATTGATGTTTAACTATATACACCCACCTGCATCCAACTACCTTCTTCCTAGGAGATAAGGAAACAAGATCCTAGGTATGATTGAGTTGAAGAGCATGGAATTCTTCATCCATCACCCTCTTCTAGTCTAGAAATGTGAGAACTTCCTATACAGAGTGAGGTATGGGAACAAAAGAAACGAGACAAACTACTAATGGCTAGGAGACATGTGAGCAAGAGAAACATAATAGGAAATAGGATGACTAGTACAGGTACACTTAATGAGAAGGTTTAACTGAAATGGTGAAGGACCCATCAATGGTGGATCAGAAGTTGGAGTTGGCACTAGAGTAGGAACATCAGGCTCCCTTTCACATCTAGAGTACACTCTGGAAATTGGTGGTTGTATGGGATCCTCAAGAGAGGGACAAGGAATAAATAGATCAGCAATGGAGGATGAAAAAGGAACAGAAGGTGAGGGATCCTTACCTGAGTAGAAGAGTAAGGTTTCAAAGAGTGTAACATCACAAACAGCAAAGGATTTTTAACTTATAAGGATGGGATTATAGCATTTATACCCCTTTTATGTACAAAAATAACCAACAAACATACATCTAATAGATCAAGAATCAAGCTTATCAATTCTAGGACCCAGGTTGTGCACAAAACAGACACCAACTAAAGACACAAGAATGAAGAGGAAAACAAGTAGAAAAAGGAAATAAGAAGGGGAAAAGGTAACTTGCCTTCAAGAAGGGAGAAGGCATATGATATAGGAAGGCATTGAAGGTGACTCGGAGGTGGTGATTAGGTGGCTAAAGGAAGAAGACAGTGGTTTGTGGAATTATAACAATGAGAAGAAAAAATTCAAATGGCTGAGTAGGAATATTGTGTTGCATTACAGCTGGGTAAAGAGGACTACTAATTCATTTGCTGATGGGTTAGCCAAACAAGGGGTGAATAGGGAATCTATTTTTTGGGCTAACTTTTGACTTTCTTCCATTGTATTCTGTTGGTGAGGAGTTAAGACATTTTACCTCCCCTTTTGTACCTTAAGTTTCACATAGTTTAATATCATTAATAAAGTTTCTTGTTACTGATCAAAAAAGAATGCCACCACTACACAAAACTTAAGAACTAACATATGAATTAGTAAAGCTCAAGCAATATCGAGTAAGTGACGATTCTTCTGTTCAATCACATTATTTTGTTGTGATGTGTATAAACAAGAAGACTGATGAATAATATCATGAAAATCAGAAGATAGAAATCCACTTTGAAAATATTATTTTACATTATAAGAACGAAATACTTTAATAGAAACACCAAACTAATTCCGAATTTTAGCATAAAGGAAACAAAGACAGAGAATAAATCAAAACAATCTTTCATTGAATAATCCATGTCATACTTGAAAATTAATCGATAAAGGTTACAAAGTACTTAAAACCATTGTAAACCGCCATATGACACAGACCCCAGACATCAAAATGAACTAATGAAAAAAGGACTCAAGACTATACTAACATCTCTTGACAAAGGATGCTCTAAGGTACTTACTAAGTGGATAGAGCTCACACTCTAACTCTGTAATGGACCCTAACATAGAAACTAACTGCTTCAAAACTGAGAGATATGGACATCCCAAGTGATAGTATCACTACTCACTAGTTTGGAGTAAGTTATGAGTCAAGAGCTTTCCATGAACCACTAGCATCCAGATAATACAATCCTCCAACTTCATGCCCTCCACCAATCATCATTCCTATCTTGAGATCCTAGAAAACATAATATGAAGGACAAAATGAGGTTGAACAATTAAGGGCCTTGGCTAACTTACAAACATGAGTCCAAAGAGAAACTTGGGCACATAACACAGATGGCAAGGTCAAATCAGAAGCAAGAGATATATTACCAATACCAAATATGGAGGAAGTAGCACCATTTGGCAAGATAATATTCTGAGATGTGGAAAGAGAAGACAAGGAAGTAAACAAATCTAGAAACTCAATCATGTAATCTGAGGCTCCAAGTCTATTACCTAGGAGGCTAGTTGAATATGAGAGGCAAGGCACGCTATACCTAATTTAGCAAAGGGGTGACAAGAAGAAAAGGGTTGACAAAGTTTCTCATACTCCTCATGGGTGATGTTACTATTTCCTTCTCCTTCCCAACTCCACATGTAGATATATCATCAATAAAGGTAACACGACTGGGTTCTTCTCCAACTAAGGCATGATTAACCCAAATCGATGATGGGCCATAGGGATCATAACAAAAGTTAACAGTATGTCCCTCACGTCCGCATCCACCACCACCACCCTTAGTATTACCACCATCTCTTCCACACCTCCACAACCAACTCTAGAACCATGTCTAACACCTCTTACCAACCTCTGCCACATACACCTCAACCAGCTCCTTCACGCCTAGCCACAAGTAAGGCTAACCTCTTTGAAGCAGGAATGTACTCTCATTATGAACTATTAACTCTCCTTAATTCTTAAGAACACTTCAAACAAGGATGGAATATCACTGCTGCCCAAAATTTGAACATGTACTGGCTTATATTTATCTCAAGCCAGATAGGAACCTTGCAACATCAAGATGCTCCCTCTGCTGTTGTTGTACCTTCAAATCTATAGATAGAGGCTGATACAGATTCAGATCATTCCTAATATTCCTCAAGGATGAATAATACTCTTCCACATTTTTATCTCCCTATTGAAGAAGAAAATACTCCTAGTATAGTTGATGAATACTGGTAACATTGTCTTGACCAGAGCAAAGCTGCTTCATGTGATCCTAGATCTCTTTGATTGTATCTAGAAACATAAGATTTACACTGGTGTAATTTTCCATACTGTTCTACAACCATGTCAAAATCTAGGCATTCTCCTGCACCCAATCATTGTAACCATCAAATCCACTTTCTAGCTTGGGATCCTTAATATACTTCAGCTTCTTTTTTCTATAAGTAAAACCTCAACAGACTTTGTCCAAGGAACATAATTCACACCATTCAACTTGACTGAAGTCATTTGAACAGCAATAAAAATACAGGTTTATCAAGATCCAATATTTATTTCACCACTAGAAGCCATAGGAACAAAAGCTGAAATGGAGAACCTTCTAAACTGATCACCAACAGTCTAATCCACACAACCGAACCCACCACCAGCCTTAAAACTCCAAATAATCAACTTCTTAAAACAAAATTTCTATTCATAAGTCATAACACATCCATACCCTTTTAAAACAGCAACCAGACTCACAGAGATCATGAAACAACCCCTGTGGTATCAGGTTTCTCAACCACATCATACCCACTAATAAAAGTAATCAATAGTCAGCAGAAACCATACCTCAACTAACCATTACAGAGCCCTCTTTGAACGTAGAGGAACTTAATTCACCGAGGAATAAAAGCCTCTTTTTCCTTGATCTGATCCGTCACACCAGCACTAATTATGTTCCTCTATGCGCAAAAGAAGAGAACTTCTATGCACAGATTGATTAGACAAGAAATAACCAATTCAGGTTATCAACGGTGCTCTGATACCATGAAAATAAGCTGAAAACGATACAATATTATGGTAGCAGAAATCAGTAATAAGAACAGTGGAGAAAAGAGAGAATAGGGGGGAGAGAGAGAGAGAGAGAAGGGTTCGGCTCAGTAGGACTTCGGTCTGGTCTCTCTAACTGCCCACCCCAAATTATTTATTTATATAATAAAAGATTGTAAAATTACATAACTGTCTAACC